TTTATGTGCTCAGTGTGGACCTAAATGTACTAGCAATATGGCAACAGGCTTATTCGTCCTTCCTTTTGACACTGAAGAAAGCTTGAACACTATAATGCACATTTGCTGGCAGAACATCTATATTAACCTCCTCCAGGGGCAGTTCCCACTGCCCTGACTTTATGGCAGAACTGTGCCAAGAGAAAGTTGTGATCGTGGCTTTGCAAGGGATTTTCAATTAAGAAGAATTTGTTAACAATTTAAGGTGTCAGTGTATGTTCTTATTACTGAATTATTATGCTATTTTTGCAGCAAGTTTAGTTATTTTTATGCAAACCTGAGAGTGTTCTGCAGGCCATTTGTCTAAGTATGCGAGGTCTCATTTTTCTTGGTTTAAGAGAGTGTCTTTTTTGCTGTGAAGAAAAATTATGCTAGTCACACCCATAGTTATCAGCCAAAATCTAATCTATAGATAACACGCATAGATCCCCTAGTGGAAACAGATGACTTTACGTCCCTTTAGCAGCATAGATATTAATCCACAGCATCTGCTGAGGAGATTCGCTGGGACTTACTCATTTTTGTAGGTATTTCTCCTTCATTTCAAAACCACACTTTCTGATCCTTCTACCTGCTCTTTTATTGATTACTTCCTTCTAAATTAGGGTGATACTGTCATACTTCTTCAGATTAATTGTATTTAAATACCTTTGTGCTCAGTCTCTCTCACATCATTAGCTAGAAGTGGTTTTCAGCTATTTTTTTCTATGTGATTTTATCACTTCGTTGGAAAAGAGAGGTCTTTCCTCTCTTTTTTTTTTTTTTTTTGTTTTTGTAATGCCCACTAAAATACAACTGTCTAGGTAGCAGCAGCATTTCTCCTTACTTACTGACATTTTAGTGCATTTTAGGACAGAGAGTCAGTTTTATCTGGTATATTGTTGGTTTCTTTTGCTCTTTGCAAAGATCACCAAGTAGTGCAAAGCAGTTGTGTGACTGCAGTGTTCGACAATGCAGGCTCTATAACCCACCCATTAATATGTGTAAACTAAAATTAGCACATGTGTGTATCTCGTATGCCTATGTCTGTGTAACAGTCTTTTAAAAATCAGATTACACTTGAGGCTGTCCAGCAGGCTGCATGTCGTGCATTGCATCTCTCACAAGGCATGTCAGTATTTCTGTCTAGTTCACAGTAACCAATTTTATAATTCCTCAGTTCCTCTTAATCTCGTCACTTGCCTTGTATTTTGAGTGACACACTGGCCTTCCCTCCAATACAGTTCCATTTCCTTTTTGAAGAGGTACCTGTTGTGCAGAAATTGACTGTTTCAGATTTCCACCTCAGTCCTGTCCCATGACACAACCTCACTTTGCAGTAGGACACAACCCTGCTTTAACCAGGGAGCAAAGGCAGTGCTGGGCTGTATGATGTGGGGGTCATTGCACTGACTGGTGCTTGGTAGGGGGGAATTGCTAAAGCTTTTTTTAAATCCTACAGGTAAGTCAGTGAGCATAAATGGAAGCAAGCAACCAGGACCTGCACTGTAGGATCAGCACATGGAGAAAAATACAGAGTTTTATGTCATAAATCGTTTTCCTGAGCAGGAGAGTTTCCTTCTCCATAATCAATCTCAATTCAGATGAGTTTATAAAAACTTCTGTTCCTTCTGTATGTGGGTATTTTTATATATATTAATAGATCTTAGATAGAATTTACTAGATGCTTGATTAAATCAGTGGTGTTAAATCAGCATAAAATGGAGTAATGTATTATTCTATGGGGCAATGTGCTATAATTAATTGCAATGGGTTGCATAAGCCTTGCACATTTAAATTAATGAACACAATAAGTTCAAACTTAGCTCTGGCTATTGAGTTCACTAGCCACAAGGAGGAGAAAAGACTGCTGCCCAGGTAGGGTGGAATGGCTATTACATGGGACCTCATGGTACCAGTGGCAATGGCATCCCTGAAAAGGGATAGGAGCAGGTGGCAAATTCAGCTATGAAGAAGCGTAGAAAAGACAGAGTGCTCTTCTGTACACCGCTTTCTTTCTAAGCAACTAGTCCCCGCCTTCTTTGGAATAGGTTGGTGCACTTTTGCATTAACAGCACAGAACTGTCTTTGGGCTGCTTCTTCAGTACCACTCTTAATATCTCTGTTATCGACTGGTGCTCAATATCAATCAACACTTCGGATATCAGAAGTGCCCAAGTGGCCACATGGCGCAAGCAGGAAGCCAACAAGGGAGAAAGTGAAAATGTTCTTCTGTCTCTCAAACCGGATAGAACTGAAAAAATCCAGATCTTTATAAAGCACTTCTGTCTGTTCTTTGAGGTAACCAGAGACATCAGTCATGGAAAGGAAGATCAGGAGATTTGGGTCTTAAAGGTCTGGTAAATCACCAGGGTGAACAACAAAGCATCCTCACAGTCACCATTGGAGAGCATACTGTATTGAGCCTGTATAGTTTTTTCTCTTAACGCTTCTCTTACACACTTCATCTCTTTCAGATATGCAATGAGCACCTTTTCTCAAACAGTACTTAACCCTTCTTCTGAAAAATTTTGTTTCATTTAGATTATACCATAACAGTATGCAAGAAGTTGCTTTTTAAATACACAGAGTTTTCTCAGAATTTGAGCAGTTTTGACCTTGTTTGTTCTCAGCATCTCAGGAAAAAAATGTAGCTGCTATAATGCCAGAATTATATTTGTCTTTATGCTGTCTTAAAAAAAAATAAAAAATAAAAAAGCTAAGGCCTACATTGCTGCTGGTTGTACAACTTTTTAAAAATGTTGCTAATTGGAAGAACAGAACTGTTTCAAAATATAAAAAAGAGTGTAGCTGATTGCTAAACTCCCCTTCGATGTTTTAACACTCATGGACATTTCACCAGCTTCCGTTTTTGAAGGGACTCCTGGCAGCTTCTAGGATAAGGTCTGATTTATTCTCTGCACAGGAACTGGTTTTGCTTATTTGGAAAGACATTGCCAAAACAACTGAAAGGAATTAGGGGTCCAGATCCTACAAATTTTTTGCTTAATTTGGGCCTATGAAATTAAGCTGAGACAAGCAATCGTAGTAAGAGAAAGATAGCAAATTTGCTCTCAAAATTTGTTGTAGTAAATAAGAACTTAGATTAATTGCATCCATTCTGTGCAATGTCCAGAGAAAGGGACTCATAAATGCTGATGGTTCTGTAGAATTTGATTCTTTTTACTCTGTTATGTTCCTCAACACTTTCTAGGATCCCATTGGAGCTAATTAGATATCATGCTGAAACTCCTGCACACAAACTGAATTTTGAAGAAAGGAAACAGCTGGATGAGCATGTATCTGTTGCTGAAGTTGAACAGTCAGCCTGTGCCCTTGAACAAAGCCCTAATCTCTAAGGAAATTCTACTGAAATATATGAATAGTTCCAGCGTATTTTGGAAACATGCCTAACTCCAGTTTGAATGAATTATCCACAACATTTTTTTTATCTGCCGTTAGCTCAGTAAATAGTTGTGTATTAAGAAACATGATAAGAGTTTAGAAAGTTGTGTCTGCTAGAGAGAGCTATTTCATTATGCAGTATAGATACTAAATTGCTTTCTAAAATATAAATCTGTACAATTCTTTCCTGTTTTGTTCATCAAGACCAAACTGCTTTCACATGAAAGGGATATGACTTACAGTCCGTAAGATTACATGCAATAGTATACTATATCCTGTATTCAGTATAGGATCTGTGCAGGTTTTCTCATTTGAACATTGAAATAAATTTTGGTGGTGCATATTGTCAGGGTAACAAAGAAATAGATTTGTCTTGCCATATTAAAATTCTTGGTTTTCTTGCATACAACATGAACCAAAGAGAATTAACTGAATTTGATATTTATGCACAGAATCTAAAAGAATACATTTGGGATATAAATAAAGCGACATTTAAATCAAAGGTAGAAGCTCCAAGTTTGCCCCTTCCTCTAGCCTTGAGTTTCTGGTTTTGAAGAGTCAGTGTGCTTGCATAGTTCTAAATTTATGTTCTTTACTTGATACTTGCATAAATTGCATAGCATATGAATCGTTTTCCTGATGGTGTGAATTATCTGCAGACCATAAGTAATTCTGTCTGCATATCCTTTCATATGTTGAGGGAAAATTTGCTTTCAGTAATTCATCTCCTCTTACTGTGGTATCCAATGTAACAGGAAGAGAAGTATGCCTTAAATATGTGTTGTAGTCCAGTAACCCAGTCCAACCTATTCTGAACTCTGATCTAAGCATTACTCAGTGCGTTTTTGAGGTTTAGAACACTGTTTTTAGCAATGAATAAGAGACCAGTAGAGCCAGCCTTTCCTGAAGTCTTATTTCTTTCTCCTTTGAGATGGCAGCCTACCTGCTATGTTATTTGACAATGCCCTGTAGCATGGGTTCAAAGTAAGACTCAGCCTCACATCTTTAGCAGACATATCACCTCTTCAGTAATCTTTTTTTTTACCAGTAAAATAAATATATATCGTATAGAAGGAATAAAACACTGAGCAATATCATGGCTACTCTTACAATTATCCCAAGCATAGATGCTTGCTGCGTGGCATCTTGAAGTCAGCTAGGTGAGATATCTAGAGCTAAGCTCCATCTTGTAGTAAATTGCACTTGCAATTACTTGGGAGAGCAAAAAGGAAAGATTGTTTTCAGATTTATGTGGTATCTAAGGAGGAGACACAACATCAGACATGACAGTGTTACTGTCGATATATCAATAAACTACCTGTATACATAAGTCAATAAAACGCAGTCCAATCAGCAGTAGTAGAAACATGAACCAATTGTATGTCCCTTTCTTAATTTCCAAATATACCTTGAAAATATAATGAGTTATTCCTATAAATGCGTGTCAGGCTGATAAAACATTCTATCTCAGAGGATTTGGGTTAGACCATTCCCACATATCAGAACTTCCAACTTTCCTCCAGTCTGAATTTTGGGAGTTGACACTTTGCCTAGTAATTTTTGCATTCACTTTCCAGATCATGTCAATGGTCACTGTACAAGCCCAACGTCCCAGAGCTGCAGTTCAGGAAAACGACTTTCTAGTGCGGATGTCACCAAAGCAAATCGCCGTGGGCCTGGGAGGCCCCCCTTTAGAAAAGCACAGTCTGCTGCCTGCATGGAGATTTCTCTCCCAGTCACCACAGAAGGTGGGTGGCGATGACAATGTTTCTAGGTATTTGTGATTTTTCACTTTCTCACAAGCTGTGAAAGCAAATAATTTGCACTCTATTTAGCATGATCCTTGTCGTAGTCATTGCCCTGAACTGCTGTCTTCATTTGACTGTTTAGAAGTAGAGCAGTCCCTGTGTGCTAGTGTTGTTACTAACCAGCCTGCTCCTGCGCTCCGTGCCGCCTCAAGATGCCGGATGCTAAGCCTTTCACAACTCCTCCCGTCGTCCGCTCACCTGTAGCCGTCGGGTGCTTTGTTCCGGAAAAGCAATTGCTCACAGCCGCTTCCATACAGTCATTGTGCCAGCCAGGAATACTAACATTTTGACCTCTTCTTGTCTCAGTTTACCCAGTTGGAAAATAAAATATTTTTAGTCAGTGAGTAAGATAAAAGTAAGATATCTTTGGAATCTGAGTTGAGGCTTTGCACATATGTATTTATTTATTAATTAGTCTTGAATACTTTATAAAATTCCATAATCCCTGGCCATCCTTTGCTGTAAAATTGTTGCCCACAATGTAATAATTTTTATGCTTATAAGAAGTTTTTACCTCTTATTCTTGGAAAAAAAAATCAACTCTTGATCTACCTGAATGCAGAGACTCAATAAAACTGAGATACACAAAGTGGAACACTCATGGCCATACATTGTGCTTGAGACTTAGAATTAGACCAGTTTAATTTCAGCATGGCCAGTGGTTTCACAGTGGAGTGTTTAAGCAGGATCATTTAGCTAAAGTTCTTTCCTTCAAATTGGTAGTGTTCTCATTCTGCTGTTGGTGCCCTTTGCTTTACTCCTAACTCCTAGGCTTTCAGCTTTTCCCGTTGCTTGCAATATAAGGACACATTATCTATGCAAAAAAGCTTCAGCTTATCAAAAACTGAAAAAGCATGATCCCCCAAAAAACATACAACTCTGGCATTGACTTTAATAATAAATATAAGATTTTAAATATTTTTAAAATAGAAGTGATAAAATGTAATATTCTAATTTTGAAATTGTTTTTTACAGTTGACTCTTTTAAAAATCCACTTTTAAATGTAATGAAGTTGCAGAATAATTGCTTAAGTGATAATAATCTTTTATGGCTTCTGTTTTACTGTAGCCCTGCCTAGTCTCCCCACCACCCTCATGATGCAATGTATTGTAGGATATCAGCAAGTCAATGACTCTCGCCCCATGTCTAGCAAGTAGCATTTGTATTGTGACCTGCCTCTGTGCAAAAATGCCTTCCCCATAGAAATTCTGTACAATTGGGATCAGGGCTCAGTTTTACTCGTCGCAGATGAGAACAGAGCAAAGGAGATTTATATCACTCAAGAGTGTCGCAATTTTGTATTTCTAGCTGCATATTGTAGCAAATGTCTTTATAACTAGCTGCAAATTGCTAGAATCTATTTTTTTTCCTTCAGGATAATATAAAATAGGAGAATTTTTACTGAGTCTTTTTTTATGACTAGTGTTAAATTGCACCACAGAAAAACCTGATCTATTTGTCTGAGGCATATAAAACTTTAAGATTATTGTTGCCTGGAATGGACCTGGTATCCCAAAGATTACTGCAATGCCCTCAAGCAGCTCCCTGCATTTGATTTAAGAGCAGCATTGACTTACATTGATCTACAGGATATACAGCATGGCATGGCCAGACATTCCCTGCAAAAGAATGACTGCTCCCTGCAGGTGTTAACAGCTTCCATCTATGTCATTACTCTTCTGTCAGATGTCACCTCCCATTGCCAGAGGCTATCATGCCAGAACAGATAATGATGGAAGAGGGACTGTTTGAGCTGTCACCATCTGCTTAAGTACAGAATCATTTAGCTTAATTTAGATAGCTTTAGAGGAGCATTAACCTGCAGAGGAACAGGAATGAAAGCCTGAGAGTAGTGGCGTTTCAATTGGTTGAGTGACCATATAACCATTGCCTTACATTGGGTTTAAAACTAGAGTGCTTTAACGTATCTAAAAATTATTTCAGTGGAGTTTGGGTAACTGTAGCAAACTTACACTTTGTTATCAATACAAAGCAACTCTTGGGCTCAAGTTTTCTGATAGAACTTTAGCTGCCCAAAACTGTTAGCAGAGGAGTTGTGCATGGCAGACACAGCACAGCTGCCATCTGTAGGGTAGACTCGGTCTTTGGGTGAACATTGCGCTATTGTGGGTTCTTCATAGGCATAATCATAGGCTGAAGAGTAAAAATCTAAAATCATATTGTAGATTTTGTATAACACAGGACAAGGAATAATCCTCCAGCAATTATTTATAGGAAATAATCCTGTTTCTAAACCTTCTATAATTGAAAACGTAAATTCAGATTAATTAATTAATCATAAATAATGTTTCACTAAAGTAGATTTGGAATGGTCTGAGGCCTTTAAAAGCATCTATGCATAAGAGAAATTTTTATCTGTATGATCACCATGGTTTCCTTTAGATTCCGTGTTGTTAATGATCATAATATATACTTCTTGCATAACACTTTCATATACATTTCTTTTTGCACCATACAAAGATGGTAAGTACTCTTTTCATATTAAAACTCATGGTGGACAATATATCACTGCCACAGTAGTTTTTATTGATATATATTTTTCTTGATTCTATGCAGTGCCAAAATTTACTTAGAATTGTTACATTCTGATAGTGCTATTGCATTTGCACTAATTGCAAATATATATATAACTTTTATATATATATATATGTATATAGATAGATAGATAGATAGATAGATAGATCAGTATATAACCTGATCATGATACTTCCCACTTCTTCTTTTCCTTTCTCTGCCATCCTCCCAGACTAGGAAGGATCAATGTCAGGAGCAAGAGAGAATGTAAAGTTCCCTAAGATCCCACTCGGCCTCCCAAACAAAAAGATTAGGTGTACGGTGCTCTGATGGCATCATGATGGTTTTCTGGGTATCCATATCATGAAAGATTCAGTTTCTACTGTTCATCACTAATTATAATATTTATCAAATTTAATTTTAAGTATATATCTTCATGAGATACTCATCCAACCTCCTTTCAGGGATGTGAAGTAAAATAATGAAACTGACATTTTTAGAAGTATCACTGCTGTCACTGCAATGATATTACACCTCTCGGTAGGGTCAGTGAAATGAGTGCAAAACAGTTTTTCATGCTTCAAGAAAAAGCTTGAGAAAGAGCCACAGCATACTTTGTATTAACATGGTCTGAGTATGTAGGTTTGTGTGCACGAGCTTACACATCAAGCATACAAATCCCTCTGCACATCTGTTGACTAAAATGACTTTCTTTATATTCTCCCCTTGAAAGAAAACCATCTCTCCAACTTTTTTCTAGAGAGCTATGGTGTTGGGCTTTTGAATTCTGGCTCCTCTAATTGATTAGTTAGGAATTATTGACACTTAGCAGCTCTGTGCATCCTGAATTGCTAGACATGCAGCTTTGGCATGTGGTTGGATTTATCTCTGTAGGATTATACATGAAATACCATGGTAGAAGGTGAGTGATCCAATCTTGAGAATTTCTTTACCTGTTCTTAAGCTGAGGACCTGTCTCCAAGGCATGAAAACACTTGGGGATTTTTTAATAAATTTTCTGGTTCGTGTACTTGCCAACCCATACTAATTGATTTGATTAAAAAGATAATATATTTTGGTGACTAACCATAGGATATATATTAGAATAATATGTCACCGCTTTACTCTCACATTGGGTTTCAAGCCCATTTATTTAAATCTGATCTTTTACCACAATAGCATCTGTATTTCCAGCATTTTCCTCAAGAGTATTTTCAGGCAACCTTCAACAGTAAGTTCTTCTGACTTCAAGATGCTACTTGACTGTTTTTAGATGATCTCCAAGATGTTTTGCTGGCTTTTACCTCTTTATATGTGTTAAAGGATTCCTTCTGTAGCAAAATGTTTCAAAGAATGTCTTTGCAAGAAAAATCAAGCTTAGGAAGAAGATGGAGAGGGTAGTCTTTCTGCCAGCCAAAATATTTCAAACTGTTAAACTTCATGAAGTACTGGCATTTATTCCCCATTCACTGAAGAACAGTTCAAAAAACAAGCAACAGTAGCAGAGGAATAGTGACTATGCTTGAATCTTTATGTTATTAGTTGAACATATCTTTCCCAAGCATCCTCATCTGATCTAGAAAAAAAAAATTAGAAGACTCTCGAAGTTTTCAAATGAAAGTTAATTTTCTTATATTCTAAAAATTACTGCAATTTCAGCTTCAAAGACTGATTTTTTCTAGTCTTTTGCCAAAAGACTAGTACCTAGATCAAATAGCTTGTTATGATTACATCCATATATGCTGCTGGACATTCAGTACTGCATTTCTCAAATGCCATTTATGCTGTTTAAAACTGTAAGATTTTGTATATATCTTTTAGTATCTTTCATAAAAGCGGTATTGTCACTGAACTAATTAACTCTGCAGCTGCTAACCATTCTATACCTAATTTTAGCAAGAAAAGTAGGAGGAAAAAAATACGATTTCTCAATAGCATATTATTGATTTTAAACAATCCTGTTTTCACATGATTTAGATCAAGCTGTTTCTTCCATGCACGAAGGTAAGGACTTACATGCATTCTATGTAAAACCATAAATACAGAACTTCTGTCCAACACTGCTGACCAAATTCCAAGTTCTCTAATACTTCTAGTCCTTTTTGACTAGATTTGGGACTTCAGGAGTTAGTAAATTTTCAATTATCAGGCTAGCAGTCTGCTGTTCAAAATATAAATGAATGTGTATTATTATTACTAAAGAAGATCCTTGGAGACATTTATTCCCACTGTGTCATCCTTTGGAAAGGGAATGTGTTTTGTTCTCCCATTTGCAATGATCTGCTCCAACCCTTCATCTACTTCAACTCTGGGTTCCACCTATTCCCTTCTTTGCCTGCAAGTGTCTTTACAGAAACATTGGAACAGGGAGTCTATTAAACTTGTATTTAGTTTCTGTGAGGAA